TCTCTCTCTCTCTCTCTCTCTCTCTCTCTCTCTCTCTCTCTCTCTCTCTCTAAGCGAGCTCAATCAGCGGAGTTCAACTCACCCTCTGGGCTGATGGTCGTCTTGGAGGTGGCATTGCGTATCTGCCGTCCGCCCACCATCCATTTGATCTCGGCGGGCGGATTCGATGGCGCTGTCGCGCACATCAGCGGCACCACATCGCCGACGCGCGCCTCCGTCGGTCCAGTCACAGTGACTTGCGAAGGTGCGACTGTATGTGAAAGAAATATGTATGGATTATAGATAGGAGCAGTTTCTACATGTGTGTGTGTGTGTGTGTGTGTGAAGGGAGCAGCAGTAATTTTGCAAGGCATTAATATTTAATAAGCCTGCGTCAGTGCCTCACTTGTGGCATGCCACACGGCTTATATACACGTGCAGGGTGCGGCAGGGAGGGGGCAAGTGTGAGTGAGACGGCGTATCGCTGCTGCCTAGATGCCTGAACGCAAATGATGACTGAGTGACTGAGTGACAGGCGACCGAGGCGCTGCCTTGGCGAGCTATTACCTAATGCCAGTAACGAGAGTGGCAGGAGCTGAAGCTGAAGCAGGAGTCGAAGCTGAAGCTGAAGCTGAAGCTGCAGCTGGCTGCTACTCCTCTTGATGGATAAGTGCAGGCAGCAGCAGCAGGCAGCAGGCAGCAGCAGCAGCTGTGCATATATTACGCATACGCCCCGCTGGACCAATTCGCCAACGGGAGCAGAGTGAGGGATGGAATGAAAAAAAGAGGCAAGAGAAAACTTCGGCTCGATATGTTTCGCATATAAATAAACATTATGAATTCTTAACTTCTCGCATCTTTTGCCATACATCTTCATTCCGAGCACACATGAGACGCTGCAGCAGCAGCAGGAGCAGGAGCAGGAGCGGGGCACGGGATACGGCATACGGCGTGCGATGGGTCAGGAATTTCTATGTGTATGCCAGCTACGTCTTCATTTTTGTGCCACATTTCGTTATACATAAATAATGCGAGCAGCGAGCGCAGCTGAAGTCAAAATATTTAAGTGTATGTATGTGTGAGTGTGTGTGTGTGTGGGCTAGTTGGCTGGTCACTCACTGTGGCATATTCGGAGACTAAAAAGCATATGGTAAACACAGGCTAGCTTAGCTGGTTAAGTAACAAGAGCCAATTTGATTGGCCGGACAAGTTGGCCATGTCCGAGTGGCAGACGTGGTGCTGGTGCTGCTCCTCGTGCGGCGGATTAGCTCTGGCTGGGCACGTGCTGGCAGCCTTTCATTATGCAGGTAAACTAACGCTAAACAGCGACAATTCAGCAACGGCCACTCGCCTCGCTTTCAAATTTGAATATCACGCATACGCAGCGCATGCCCTCAAGTAGCCCATTTGCATGTTTGACACACAGACAAGTGTGTACGAGTATGTGTGTGTGTGTGTGTGTGGAGGCCCTTGCAGAGCGTGGAGTAGAGGAGTAGATGCTTTAGCAACTGCAAATGCAAATGACGTCGACTAACGACGTTTTTTGGCCAGACGAAACTCGCGCGCCCTGCCCCACAGCCTGATTGCGATTGTTGTGAGAGGCGTGGCTGGTGGTGGGCGGGGTTTATGCTATTTGGCACTTGAAAAGAATTTGCATTGCTTGATTTGACAAAGCCAAGTGGGTGCGGGCGGCTGCTGCTGTTGGATGAGAGTGCAAACTTAAGCTTAATTGCAAAAGAAAGCGCACACTGAGTGTGAGAGAGAGAGAGGGAGAAAGAGGGGGAGTGTGGGCAGCGAGCGAGTCAGAGTTTGTCAGGCTTATTTTCGCTTTGAGTCGCGTGCCAAGTGGCATGCTGCAAAGGACGACTGTTGACACAAACCAGCGACAGAAACTGAGTGTGAGCCCAAGTGTGCGTGCGTGTGTGTGTGTGTGTGTGTGTGGGCGTCAGAGTGTGTAAATATGAAAATTAACGAAATACAATTAGGCAAACATGCAAAGGAGTCGCAACGAGCAGGCATTGCAGCACCAGCAGGAGAAGGTGGGTGAGCAGGAGCAGCAGCAGCAGGCAATTGCCACCATCTGCATAACGAGACTCGAGACGACTCGAGCCAAGGCAGGACACGCAAATTATCTGATGGCAGAGCATTAAGGGCAGCTGGCTCTCACTTTGATGATGCTGCTGGGTGGCTGCATGGGTGGTTCTATGGGTGGTTGCACTTACACAGCACTGTCAAATCAACTTCCGCCTTGAGCGGCGTCTGTGACATCACGTTGCTCGCCTCGCAACGGAAACGCGCCTTGTTGTCGCTCGCCTCCGCTGTGAACGTGTAGATATTCTCCGATAGCCGGCCCGAGGTTCTGCAAGCAGAAGTGGATAGTGGATTGAGTGGAATGATGGCAACAGTAACTGCAGCGGCAGCAGCAGTTGCTTCACCTACCTGTAGGCCATGCGTATTTGTGAATTGTTTTTGTACCAGATGAGCTGTGCGGGCGGATTGCCGCCGCGACTGCGACAAATGAGCTCCACCGTCTGGCCGCGTCGCAGCGTTTCAGCGGGTGAATAGCCCTCAATGTACGGCGGTCCCGGCGGATCTGAATAGACAGAGAAAAAAAAGCAAATAATAAAATAGACTTGTTAAAGCGTGAGCGTATGTAACAGGATAATGGATAATATGCATACATATACATACAATATATGTATATGTATGTATGTATGTATATATTCTCTGTGTGGGCTTATTTGCTTGCATATTTAATTGTATCTGCGTCTGCCACAAATAAATTCAATTTACACTAAAACAAATGCGGCACGGCCATATGCATATGCGCCGTTTTTAATTGAAGTGTTTGCACGCCCAATCGTTTATGTGGTTAAAATGCATTATTTTCGTCGATTTCCGCCGTTGTTGTCTTTCATTTTTCCTTTTTTTTTTTTTGTGGCGTGTTTGAGCGTGGGCGTGGCACTGCATTGCATTTGCCTGCGCTGTGTCTGTAATTTTGCATGTTTTGTGGGCGTTTTAATCACATTGCAAATACCACGGGCAAAAAAACAACGACCTTTAAACGCCCTTAAAAAACAAAAACAAAAACAAAACAGAAAAATTTGTTTGAAGCGCTTCTACAACATTTTTGACCAGCTGGCCAAAGGTGCGTATACGCAATGTGTGCTTTAAAGTGAACTGAGCCATAATCTATACACAGAGAGAGAGAGAGAGAGAGAGAGAGAGAGAGAGAGGGAGAGGGAGAGCGGCACACAATTAAATTAATATCACTTAAAATATTGTGTACGAGTATCGTTTGCGTGGGGGATTTGCCCATGAATATGGCCCCAGCATGTGGCCAACTGAATCCGATTACAGCGCCGGGCTGGTCCTTGACAGCCAGCAGGACCAGAAGGGCAGCAGGCACAGGGAGGGGGAGGGGGCTGTGCTGCTCTGCAATAATAGCGCATAATTAAGCACCGAGGCGAGCAAATATGTATGGACCAACTGCACGGCAATGTGCATGTCCCACAGATACGCGTAAGTGTAGCCGCAATTAAGATGTATAAATATTTATAGCCAACACACACACACACACACTGTGTTTGTGTGTGTGTGTGGTTGATAGCGTTTAAAACGGATCTATCACATGCTCATATTAGCTTTGGCAGCTACCCAAGCTACAATTTTTATATGCTACCAAATGCAGCGCCAATTGATAAACAATTAAGCAATTAGCTCACTTTGCTTTGTAGTAAATGAGCATTTGCAATGGAATTTGGCTAAGTGGGGGATGAGCTATGTGCGATTGGTCGAATGGGTGGATTTAGTGGAATTTTAGCATAATTTAATTTGATTGATTTCTTACAGTTCTCTTACTCTTGCAGGAATTCAATGCACAGAGTTGGCTACAGAATTATGAAAGACTAAAGCAAATCAGCTGACTTGACAATGCTCCTATAATAATTCATTACAGTCCTTATAATCATCATCATCTACTTACATATATAATTCCATAAATTAATTTAGTACAGGAATATTCATTAAATATAAAGGAAAATGTAAAAGTAAAATCAATAATTCCTTTTACAATGATTCCCTGAACTGATTTATATACGTTAAGAGCTGACCGATAGTAAGAGATAGTCTTAATGGATCATCTAAGTACTCGTATATACATATTTGCTACATATAGCCTGGCCTCTACATTCACAGGCAATTTTTAGTGTAAAACCTCGCACAGCAGCCAGCCAGCCAGACTTGACTGAAATTTGCATTCGACTGCTGCATTAGCAATGATTAATCAAGGATAATTGCAATGGCTCGTTCAGCGCACGTTAAAGGCATAATAATAGGTAGAGAATGCGGGCTGTTAGCTGCTTGGGCCATTCACATTCAAATTCAAATTCAATCTATTTTGTCAACGGGCATTGGCAGCAGTGCCCCGGCATTGGCCAAAGAGCACGAAGTGGCTAAATGAATGGCAGCAGCAATAATAGCCTCGTGGTCAGCTACACAGCTACAGCTGGAGCAGCAGGCAATGCATAAATAGCAAACATAATTAATTTGAATATGTCTGAGAGTGAGAGAGAGAGGGAGAGAGAGAGAGAGGAGGACAGGTGATGGACTGGGCAGCTGCCTACTTTGGTTACCGCTGGTCAAAGC